TAAAAAAGATCCAAGCTTTGGGACTTCGAGGACTTGTTCTTCCATATCTGGTGCTCGGCGATCGTCAACGCCAAAAAAGGCAGGTGTTCGAGAGGACCGGATCTCAGATCTACGCAGACGTACTCCGGATCTAAGCTTGGTCTTAGATCCCGAGACTTGGACGATTGTTTCCTTGGTGAACCAATCCTCCCCGGCTATTATTTCCTTGGTGAAATAATAACCGTTGTACTGCGTAGATCCGACCGGATCTAGATCGCGCGGTGGTCCACGGCAAACAACCCCGGCGCAGGCAAAGAACCCACAAAGCAAGAGACCGCAAAACAGGATCTTGCGATTCGTTCGACAAACAAGGAAACAAAGTATTTCTTGTGTTATTTGATTTTCGTTGTAACCGGATCTAAAAAAAGACCGGATCTTTGTAATCGATAAACTATTACAAGAATTTGCAATGGAATCAATGATGAAGAAAACAACGATTTTCACCGCGAACAGATGTTTGACACAATTGGCCACAACTTTGAGGTGTGCTTCATGCAAAGATATCACAAATTGTTGAGGGTTTATTTGCAAAATTGCCCATAAATGTTTTAGAGGGACTTATTTGCAAAAAGGGCAGAAAATCCAAGGCTGAAAACCAAGAAGTTTAGACCACAAAACTACGATCAAAGTTTTGTGAAAACCAAACCGAAATTTGTGGAGGGTTTTTTTTGCAAAATTGGGAGGGGTCTATTTGCAAGATTGGCTAATTTTTACAAAAAGGGTTTATTTGCAAAATTAACCAAAATTGTGAGATGTCGGGGGTGCTAGATGAACAAATATGATGACCATTCCCCAATTCGAGTGTATCCTTGACCAGAATTTAGCCTTGAATACGAGGGGTATTTTGGGTATTTCACCGAAATTTATCATGATCATTGTTTTGCATGCACGAAATTTGTAGGTTTAATTAGACTTCAACTATAAAATCCTATTTATACATAGGATTTTAATTAAAGTTCTTAATTTCCCTTTTAAATTTCGCGTATTCATACTTTAGATTGTATCTGACTTGCTGCTTTTCATTACAGGTTTCCGATGCCTCCACGCCGATCTCGACTTCCTAGGAGTCGATCCCATTCGCAGCCTAGCGAGGAAGAAGTTCCTGCAACATCCTCCCCTCCAGCAGCTTCTTTTTTTGGGGGTGGGAATTTTTTTTATTTTTTTGTATCCCCGATTGATCCCTTCGCGGGTCATGAAGGAAGAACCGACACCCTCCTTCACGGGGGTCGAGGTTTCGGACTTGGTGGTTTTGTCATACCCTCGTTTGGCCCCTTCGCGGGTCATTCGGGAAGGGCCGACACTCTCCTTCGCGGGGGTCGAGGTTTCGGACTTGGTGGTTTTGTCATACCCTCGTTTGGCCCCTTCGCGGGTCATTCGGGAAGGGCCGACACCCTCCTTCGCGGGGGTCGAGGTTTCGGACTTGGTGGTTTTGTCATACCCTCGTTTGGCCCCTTCGCGGGTCATTCGGGAAGGGCCGACACCCTCCTTCGCGGGGGTCGAGGTTTCGGACTTGGTGGTTTTGTCATACCCTCGTTTGGCCCCTTCGCGGGTCATTCGGGAAGGGCCGACACCCTCCTTCGCGGGGGTCGAGGTTTCGGACTTGGTGGTTTTGTCATACCCTCGTTTGGCCCCTTCGCGGGTCATTCGGGAAGGGCCGACACCCTCCTTCGCGGGGGTCGAGGTTTCGGACTTGCCTTGCTTGGCTAATTCAAGTCTTCTGGTATATTGGGACGATTTTGTGTCGTCCTACACCTTATAGGTCGGTGTATGTTACCACGTTATTTACGTGATGATGCATACCGTTCTTCCAGTGTAGGACACTCAAAATCGTCTCTCCAATTATCCCGTGACTGGTCTTATCTCGCTTTTTATGAGTTTTCTGACTCTATCCTTGCAGTCGAGTTCCCCGCGGGCAGCCTTCCTCCTCATGCTAATACTGGTTGTAGCCGGGAGGTCTTCTCTTCAGCTTCCATCAGGCAGGCCGTTAGTCCACTCCCTCAGTTTGACAGAGATCGCTCCGACGAATCCTGTCGTTTGATACGGGATGGAGGGCGTCATTGCTTACGCCAGCTGATTACGGACGCCTCCTTCACTGCAGATTCTACTTCCACTCAGGCTTTAAAGAAGCCCGGTTTCCTGTTCGGGGATCACACGGAGGATCCTGCTACGTTGACTCTTACCGAGGAGCATTGGCTGAATCTTCATGAGGGTGCTCTCCTGTATATTCCCTCCATTCCTCGTCAATATTCTTTCACCCATTTGGAGGGACAGGTCGTGGAGCGACAGATGTCTTGGCATCTTACCTATGATGCTGAGCGAGTTCAGTGTGGATATACCTCTCATCATAAGATTCCTGGTTCTACTGGGTATCATGATATCCGCGGTCTTCGACCAGGGATTATGGGTCTTGACACTGCACCCCCAGGCGAGGTATCAGCAGCTGCTCCTACTGTGAAGAATCGTCTGGCTCATCTTGGGAGAAGGTTACCTCCACCAGATTACAGATGCTATGGTTGGGCTTTCTCAGAGTTCAGTGTGGATATACCTCTCATCATAAGACTCCCGGTTCTGCTGGGTATCATTACATCCGCGGTCTTCGACCAGGGATTACGGGTCTTAATACTGCACCCCCAGGCGAGGTATCAGCAGCCGCTCCTACCGTGAAGAACCGTCTGGCTCATCTTGGGAGGAGATTACCTCCACCAGATTATAGATGCTATGGTTGGGCTTTCTCACTACCCAAGGGATGGTGGACACGCATGACCAGTTACGTCTTGGGGCGCTGGGAGAAGGATTTGAAGAGCAGCGGATTGTATGCACCTATACGGGCCACCATGTACGGACTTCCGGTCAGCTGCTGCCATTTCTTGGCGTTGTTGGAGACATACATGCCCGACAGTAACACGTTCCTGACCAGCGGCGGAGAGTTAGGGTTGGCCTTACACGAGATGCATCAGGTTTCTGGTCTTCCGATGGGGGATTGTCCATACCAGGAGTACTTTCCCTTGAACCAGCAGTTGGAGTGGTTGAAGAAGGATACTCCCGATATGTACGATACTCTTTGGGACCTCACCTGCCATTATCATACCTCTCTGATCAAGATTTCTCCTCAAGCGAAGAGGAAAAGGCAGATCAGCTTGAAGCAGTTTGCTGTCTATTTGTTCCCGAATTTGGAGGGTGATTCCGGCGAGCCCCTTCGTGAGTTAGACGTCTTGACCCCTACCGCCATTAATGAGTTGATGGAGAAGGTTGAGGCTCGTTCTTATACCATTGCCCGTGCTGAGGGAGCTTTTCCTGTAGGAACCAAGTTTCGTTCGTTCCTCCGCCGTGCACAGAAGTCCATTGAGCCCCGGACTCTGCTAGCAGGCTATCTTGCCCTCTGGTTGAAGAAATGTGTTGTTCCGTACCAGTTCTCAGACGCCTTACCTCTCGAGGTGCTTTTCCCCGCAGTTCAGCTAGCTTATGGGAGGGAGCTTTCACTGCTCCCAGCGATGGTTGCCGGCATCCATTGCGGGCTTAGGTATCTGGTCAGTGGTTTTACACGGGTGGGTTCTAAACCATCGACCGAGCTTACTTGTCCGAAGGTCGAGCTTCCTTATGCGTATCTGATGGCGTGGCTCGTTCTTCACCGTCCTGACTTGATGTCGGCGCCCAGCGTTGTTGATGTCCCCGTTCCTTTCGTGCAGCTGTTGGAGAGGAGCAGATGGCTCGGGAAGAAATTCGGCGATGCACAACGAGAGCTTCAAGTTCGCAAGAGCTGGGAGTTCTTCAAGTGTTTTCCCCACTTTTCGGGTCGCTATGGTGATGTGCTGACTGATGAGGAGAAACCCAGAACTAATCGGACTGCTCTCGACGTTGGTTGTTTCCGCTGGTTAGTGAACATCCGTGTTGGGTATCTCGTTCTCCGGGTGAAGAATCATTGCCACATAGAGCCTTACCTTCCCTACCGTTTTGCTCATCAGTTCGGTTACGACCAACTATATGTTAGGAATCCGAGCCGTGGTTTGAAGGTTGAGGGGGGGCTTATTGATGGCGTACGGGCATGGCTATGGACTGTGGTGGGCTGCACCGGAGCCCACTTTGCTCTTCCTTCATATAGGCGCAAGCCGATGATTACTTTCCTCAGTTGTAAGTGGTTCCTCTCCGCCAATGAATCCATAGGTGTGAGGAGTCTTTCAGAGTTAGAGTCTGAGCACTCGGTCCAGGTCGCTATGATGGCTGCTCGTAAAGCCGAGCTTGCTCAGAAACAGAAGAAGAAGTCTGCCAAACCTCCTCTCTCAAGCAAAGACGATGAAGAGCTCCTTCCTACTGACGATGATGACGAGACTTCTGAGGAGGAGTATGTGGATATAGATATCGACCAAGAAGAACTTGATGCAGGTTTGTCATACTCTTTGATCCTCTTTCTCAATTTCAATTGATATCAACGAAAGATCTGGTTCATTTAATGAAATAATCCTTATCATTTCAGGTAGGACAGTCGACGACCATGAGTCGCTTGCTTCCCGTCGTGCGGGATTCAGGCTTGGTGGCCAAGCTCCTACCCAGGTTGATACACATGGCCAGTCCACGCACGAACGACCCGTTGGTTCTATGAGGGGTGATATTCCGAAAAAGAAAAAAATCGCTCATAAACCACACGTTGGTCAGCGCTCCTATGAAGTGGATTTAGGAGACTTCGCCGACAGGGAGGAAGGTAATACTTCGTCGTTTTCATTGCTTTAAGATGACTTACCTTCTGGGATTCGTAATCATGTTTCATGTTCCAGGGTTCTTTGAAGAGGGCGAACTCCCATTGTCTCCCGTATTCACTGGTTCTGATAATATGGGGCGAACTCCCATTGTCTCCCGTATTCACTGGTTCTGATAATATGGATAGCTTCATGGAGCAGATGTGCAACGCACTTCGTGACGGTTCTCTGGGTATCGATCTAAACATTGATCTTGGACAGGTGAATAGTGTTGAGCCCACCGTTCCATATTCAGGTATATCTACATCCGATGATACCCTCCTCAAACATGGGGAAAGAGAATCTTCTGTTCTTGCTGCAGGTATTTCTGAGCTTTCCCTTCTTCCTTATCTTCTTATACATATCTCCAACATTTAGGTTGTCCTGCAGATGTCGCGATGGAAAAGCCAGTTGAGGACGGAGCCTTTCATGATGTAGGTTTCGAGGAACAGGGGTGTGCCTCTGCACCAGGTTTCTCGGGGCCCGATGCTGGATTATTTGCCGACATGTTGGCTGAACAAGCCACCAGAGGAACCGTGAGACCACCCTTTGGGAGTGATTCACTCACAGGTATATACCTGATTCCCTTCATTTTTTTTATCTTTTATCTAACTAATGAAGGATTAATATTACAGTACCAATCATTGGGACTGATTCAGTAGCGATTTCCAGCACATCTAGTTTACCTCGGAGTGACGGACTCACAGGTATGCAGACGATCTTGGATGTCGCACTGCTTTTCATTTATTTGATGATTTTGACTGATAGTTTGCCTGAGAGCGGTGTTTCTCCGCCACAGCCGAGAGGTATGACTGATTTGCCTACAGGGGTTGATATACCCTCCATGACTACTCCTGCAGTTATTTCGGAACCTGTCGGATTTCAGCCTGAGGGGACCTCCGTTGGCCTTGGTATGCTCGGAAATTGCCTTTAAATTTTCTTATCGTATTCGATAATCTCTTAGCTTTCCACAATGTTTCTTGTAGGATCTCGATCATCTCTATATGAGCGTGTCCGCGCCCTCTTGGCTGATACCGATCCCGACAAAGACATTTTCCGTACGTACCTCGGCTTTTTTACCGCCTTTTATAACGGCATGATTGAGAAACTTCTTCACAGAGGATACTGTTTCAATCAGTTCAGGCGTTCCTTTTCTCGCCACATGATGATGATGAGGGAAGAAGGATATCCAGAGTTGGCCGATTCCTTCACTGCCGATTTCACTGTTCTGGAGTCAGAGATCCGAGAGTTGAAGGAGTTGAAGGCTGGTGGAGCTTCTTCCTTCGTGTCCTCTCAGATGGAGCATAGGCTGACACAGTGGCACGACCTGAGATCTTCCATCGGCAGCGAGCTTCGATCACATGAGCATTCTGTTGCGCAGCTGATGGCTACCGTGGCGAGGAAGGATACAGATAGGGCCGAGCTACTCCGCTCTTTGGATTCCGGCCGCGAGGAAGTGGCTAGGTTGAAGGAGGCCTTGAAGCACGCCGAGGAGTCCATTACTATCATTGCAGAAGACCTGGCTGGAGTAGAGCATTCTCGTGGACAGGCCCTCGAGAAGCTAGGAGCTGAGGAATGAAGCCGCGAAGATCTTAAGCAGTTCCGAGGACTCTGTCCGAGCTAGTCTGCAGGCGGAACTTGAGCAGAGCTATGTAGACAGGCTTTCTAGTTTAGAGTCCCATGTTCTTAGCCGTCAGTTGCCTTCGGGCTAACGAGCTTTTTATTATATGCTTTTGACTTGATCTATTACTAGAGAATCCGCATTTGCTTCTTTCATGATATTTCTTTATTTACTTTGAACCCAGCAATGGTAAAATTTATAGGATTTTTGGCAAACCCCCAGCCCTCAACGGGTTTGATATGTCTTTACCGATTACCGTTTAAATCGGGCTAGCATGCGGATTGTCTAGATCCGTTCCATATGTAACGTTGTGCTAAGAGAATTGCTTTTC